CCTTGGTCAGGAGTTTCAAAAGGTGTTCCTTTTACTGCATGCAAAAATACATACATCCCCAGATTATGTATAATATTTGTTAAGGTCCAAGCAACAGGAACACTGAAGAAAGGAATGCTGAGTAAGACAATATGGAGCAAGCCAACTCCCAATGCATATGTCAGCCACATACCCCGGCTATTCATTACACGGGTATTTGGATTCACTTCACTGTGGGCAACTCCAACATTCATGTTTGCTCCGCTGCCCGGTTCTCATCGGCCGGCACGGCGCGAGGGCAACCCAGCAGCAACCTCCCACACAGGTTTTAAATAATGACAGGCCAAGTAAAAGACAACCCCCCAAAAAAAAGTTTAGAAGGAAAAAATATTATAGTGATTGTATCTTGGTGATAGGAGTTCATGTAATATGTATTTTTCTTTATAACTTCACGACTTCTCTAATTTAGTTGTCAACTGTAATGACCTGAATGCACATGACTTCATGATCTCTCTCACTTCATTGCTTTGTTCACTAGACATGGACCATGTGCATGTGCTGCGGTCTGTTCTCTGGTCGCCTACTCCTTGACTGCTACCATGCATCAGATTTTTACTTTATTGGCCCTCTCTGTGCCAGTGGCTTCATTTGTTGTATTAAAATACTCAGACTCCTGCTATTTTATCTTGGGCCTCTCCTGTCTACTTCCAATTAAGTTTAGATTTTTATTTGTTATTTCCTTAACTTTATTCTGTTTTTTTCCCCCTCCTACTTTCTCAAATGTCTGATCTCCCTCCTATTTCCTTCTATCTTTAGGAGGGCCCTTGCATTTGACTCTCAGAATACTACAGCTATCAGAGTTACTCTCTGCCTTCTAGCCTCACATACAGAGTCTTTCTGTGCCACTGTTTTTCATCCTTTGCTTCTGTTGCCACAAAATAGCTTTTCCTTCCTACTCTTTAGGGCTAGTGTCCCACCTGTGACTCACTCATTCTGTGTCTCCTGGTATTAGGCATTCATATTCACTAAGTATGTGTTTCATAAACATTTAGTACTTTTATAAATAGAAAATTAGTGGCAAAAATCCCTCTGAATGTGTTATAGAGAATGTTATAGTGGAGAATTCCTCATGTCTAGTTTTTGAAAATTTTATCTGCATATTTACGTGGTATGAAAAGTCAGTGCTACTTCTTAAGAACAGTGTTTTATCCATTTGGTTGAAGGATATTTCCTTTTACAGATATTTCCTTTTTATGCTGTTTTAGATTTGTCTTTGACTTTATGTATGTCACAGGCTGTGACTTGACTTTTTTTGCCCCATAGTTGGAGAACACATTCAAATCGGTCATTGCACAAATTGGACCTGGAGGGACCATCAATCCAGAACTAAAACATAAGATAAAATTTGTAAGTATTTTCCTTTTATTGGAAGCAATAATAATTGTTTATAAATTCAGATATCATTTGTGGTTGAGTTTAATTTGCTTGTAGTTACACCTGATGCCTGATATTTTCTAATATATTGAAAATAGAATAGCTATTCTTTTAAAATGAAAAAATACATAAAGTACACACTATATAAAATTTCAGTGTAAAACTATTTAGGAAATATGTTATTCCTTCACTTCCTCCCCTCACCCTAATAATTCTAGCTTAAAATAAATGTTCATCAAATACTATTCCATATAATGTGTGGTTATGTTTATCATGTTTCATTTATGAGATCCATGATTAATTAAATTTGGGTTATTTTTACCCTTGGCTATTTAAAAATGCTGTAGTAAATGTCCTTGAACATTTATCCAGTAGTGGTTGCCAATCAAAAGCATTGGCTATTTATGTTTTGCCAATAACTGTTACTACATTGCCCTCTGAAAGATTTGATTGAACAAATTTACTCTTCCACTGACAGTGAAGTGTTACTCTCCAGTCATGTTGTTTTAATTTATAACTGATTTTTATCCTGAGTGTCTTTAATATGCTTATAGTCATATTTTTAAAAATGTGAACTGCCTATTCATGTCTTTGGCCTAATCTGTTGTTTTCCCTTATTAAAATATGAAAACTCTTTGTTTTTATGCATTGGGCCAAAGGGTGAACACATTTAAGATGTTGTGGGAGCTATTGATTCTGATTTGAATGATCAGGTGCCATCGTGGCTCTTACTGCCTTATACTGTCCATTTCAGGGGTTGTGACTTTACTGGGAGAAATGCAAAATCCCTGGTACATTCAGGCTGTGTTTTGATTTTTGTTTTTGAAACTCGAATACCTAATAATAATTTGTTACAGGATATTAAATATGACTTTTTATGGTACCAAAAATTAGAGAAAAGTTAGTGTTCATTGATAAAGGGTTGGTTAAATTATCCACATAGAGTAAGGAATATGATGTGGCTTGTAAGAAAGCTTATGTATTTCTCTTAGCAAACACTGAATTATCTCCTTCACATGTTGAACTTTAAAACCAGGTTTTATAGAATACTRTGTTCAGTGTTCTCCTCCCGGAGTGAGTGATGTGGGTATACACACACACACACGTTTCAAATGCATGCTTTCTGAAGTACATCATGGCTGTCTCTGGGATTTTTGAAAAAAAAATTTAATATTTTTTTTTAGCTGTAGCTGTATATGATACCTTTATTTTATTTGTTTTTTATGTGGTGCTGAGAATCGAGCCCAGTGCTGCACACATGCTAGGTGATTGCTTTACCACTGAGCCACAACCCCAGCCCCTTGAAATTTTTACTTTTTCCTGAAACTTGAATTAGAATTTTGTATTAAATATAATCAAGTAAAAACTAGGAAAACACAAAATTTTATGCTACATTGGAGATAGAACCAGTCATTTCTAGGGATTTATCTAAAAAAATCATTGGACAAATGTGCATAATGAAAATATGAGGTTAACAATTGCAGTATTTGTGATAATGAAAAATAAATGACTATAAAAAGGATACATTTAGGTACCTTGAATGTGAAACTATAGGGTTGTGAGGTTCTTACATTTTATGTGACGTAGTATGGATACATTTAGGTACCTTGAATATTTTGAAAAACCTGTCTGTAGCTTGTTTATCCATGTTTATTGATTAGAACAATGATTATGCAAACTTTAACCTTATTTTTATATGAACATAAATGTTTTATGTGGATATGGGCAATAATGGATTTTAAAAAAATTTTTTTAAAACATACTTTTTTAGTTATTGATGGACCTTTAATTAATTAATTTATTTATTTATAGTGGTGCTGAGACTCAAACCCAGTGCCTCTCACATGCTAGGCAAGTGCTCTTTCACTGAGCCACAACTCCAGCCAATGGCTATTTTTATAACTGTATTTTCTGAAATTTTCTATAACATCCATTTGTATTTTTTGCAATTAAAATGTTTGAATATTAATGCACAATATTAATTGTATGTGAGCTGAAAGCAAATATATTAGCTGGGCTAAAGAAACACAGGACTTTACGGGAGTTGTGGCATTGTAGGATTATGTAATAGTGATTTCTCAACTCTGGAAATATTTGGAATCACTTTTATATATATTTTAAAATCATAAAACTGATTTTTTAAAATAAAAGCATTATATGATATATTTGAATCATAATGTTATTTTTGCCTTTGTTACTATTTATACTATCTTATTTTAAACATTTGGTATCCTAGTACTTCAATTCTATGTTGTATTTCATTTTCATTTTATTAGGTTGTATCTAAGTTTCCAGAGGGTTTGTTAATTTCTAAACTTCTTGGGGAGTTTGAGGTAAGTGTTCTTTTTTTCTGTGATTTACATTTCTTGTGATAGAAATTTTGTTGCTATTCCTTGGATCCCTCAAGTCTATACCTTTAACACTTAAATACTGTTTTGCATTTTAGTGTCTTTTTCTTCATTACAAGAGTTAAGGATATTTACTTGATTATGCGTAAGAGGGCTCTTTTTACAACTTAGTGATAACATCTTTGGAATGAAAATTGATTTATTTTTGATGTCTGACAATAACAAGTGTCAATTGGGAATATGGAAAAATAATCTCATTTCACGTTTTTTATTTTTTTTATATCCAGTGAGATTAAGAATGAAGGGTAAAATAAGGGCATATTCAGATAATCAAATAGATAATTGTAAACACACCTGCACTATAAAGAGATGCTAAAGAATGTTCCTCAGGCTGAAGAAAATGATGCCAGATTGGAACTTGAATCTCCAGGAAGAGCTGTAGAATAAAGGATATATGGTATATCTAAAAATCTTTCTTTCACCAATTAAAATATGACTATTATTACAAAGATGATAGTATATAATTGGTTTTAACTTAAAGATGTATCGTGCTACAGCATAATGAATCAGGGCAGAATGTGAAACTATAGGGTTGTGAGATTCTTATGTTTTTTGTGAGGTGATACAATAAGGCTGAGAAGTTAAAGATGTGTACTATAATACCTAGAACAATAATTAAAATGTAGTTACAGCATAAATTTAATAGATTCTTTAAAATGCAATTGTATAAAAACATTGTAAATGCAAACAAAGACTGGGAAGGAGGGAACAGGCGATAGATGGTATCATTGGAATCAACAGAAATTTTTTAATTTTATTTTTTTTATTAGCTACACATGACATTACAATGATCTTGGCAATTCATACATTTGAATCATTGGGGTATAATTTCTCACTTTTCTAGTTGTACAGTGGAATCAACAGAAATTAATAGTGGTAATTTTAAATCTAGTTATAGTAATTTCATAAGTGTAAATGGACTACTATTAAAATTTGGAAATGAGACTGTGGAAAGCAAGATGCAACTATGTTATCTACAGGGAACACATCATAAATGTGAGGATAGATTGGTTCAAAATAAAAGATAAGAAATATATACAAGAAATATAGAAAAACTGAAGTGACTAAAACAACTTCAGATAATACATTGGGCTTGAAGCCTGCTTTATCAGCAATTGGCAMATTCCATCAGGGTTAAGGGCCAGTTCTTCAGGAAGACGATCATAAATGTGAATTCACCTAATAAATAGTATAAACATTCTCTGAATTTTGACAGAATTAAGAATTCTATAAATCTAGTTGGAGATCTAAATACTGTCTTCCCAAATGGCTAAAAAAAAAAAAAAAGTTCTGTATCTTGTATATTTATTGAAGCTAATTGAATGGAAAATGTAAGTTTACCATTTCAATATGAATTTTATAAAAAGTTAAAAAAGATTTTGAATTCTAGATAATAATGTATGTGCTGACATTTTGCGGGGAAAACATTGATGTCTGTAGGTTACTTTGAAATATATAAAAAAATGAATTGGATGGATTTATTGATGATAAAACAAAATAATGCTGATAATTCTATAATTTGGGTGATAGAGTTCTGTCCAATTCTTTAGCCTTTTTCTGTTTTAAATTTTTATAAGAAAAATGTTATTAAAAGAACAAGAAAAGATAAAAAAGAATTTAAGAAAAAGTAACAGATATTGAAAACAGGCAAAATAAAGCTAACATATGAATAATGCCAAAGAAAAGAATAACAAAGTAATTCAAATAAACTTTACTGAAATGAAATATTTGAAACTATTATTGAAAGAGTGCACTAGCAGCTGGGGTTGTAGCTCAGTGGCAGAGTGCTTGCCTGGCATGTGTGAGGCACTGGGTTCGATCTTCAGCACCACATAAAAGTAAAAAAAAATAAAGATATTGTATCCATCTACAACTAAAAGATAAAAAAAAAAATTGTACTTCATGCTTAAATCGTTAACCTAGAATAACCAAACCCAAATTAGTGGACTTCAAAGAAAAAGGAAGAAACTCCTTTGACCATTTAAAACAAAAAGAGCAAGTGACTTGTAAGGGAATAAAATTAGATCATTAGACATTTTTATATCTTGTTTTGCCAGAGGAAAGTAACATATTTCAAATATTCAAGGAAAGAAAATGTGAGCCAAGAATTTTATGCTAGCAAAACTGACTCAACTGTAGAGACAGACTACAACCATGCAAGAATTCAASAACTGTTGTTCCCTTGAACCATTCTGAAGACATCTTCTACAGAGTCATCAATGTCATATTAATAAAAGGACTGACATTTAATGCTACTTCCACAACCAAAACCATATGAAGTTAGGAGAAAATATATAATGGCTGTATACTCTTGTGAATACATACACAAAATGAAATGGAGAAGAAGGGTTGAATATATGCCAAAGTTGAATTTTTATTATATTATGGTAATCTTATTCTGAAACCATTGTTATATGATGGGTACAAGGCAAATTAATTATGAGATGRTTCTACTAGTATATACAAGTGTTTTCTAATTGCATAAATCAAGACTGGAACATTTTGTCATAGCAGACCAACAAGGAAACTGCTAAGAAAAGGGTCATATCAAAAGGGCTTACAAATCCACTTGAAGAGTTATTTTAGGCTTTAGTAGGATAATAATAGCAATGACTTAAAGCAATGACCAAATATATTTCATTCCATGAGTTTATATGATATTAAAAAACAATTGGTTAACATAGAAGATGACAGAGAACAAATCACCTTTTAGAAAAATGATAAATTTAATCACTTATCCTGATTTTTCTAAGAGAATTGTATGACTGAGTAACCAATAGAAAATGAGGGGAAGAATATCCTTATAAAAATCTTCCAATTAAATAATGAAAAATAATTGATAGAATAACTCTATTAAAGCCCTATATAAAATAATGGATCTAGGTACTGACCAGTGATGGTCCCTAAGAACACCAAAAAGACTACTGGACATTGTGTGCCTTTTTAGAACACACAGGCTTATTTACAGTCTTGTCAAAGAGATCAGTCATGAGTTTTATCCAGTTGCCAATGAAGGAAATAATATTCCACTATGAGCTTGTCATCTGAAAAATCCAGTTGGGAAACAAAATCATGTAATAGGATATATGCATAGCTTTGACAGTATAAGTATAAACTCTAAGGAAAAATAATAAGAGTAAAGTTGAATGGGCGATGGAAGGGAAGTAAGGAAAGTGGGAGTAGAAATATATCAAGTCTATAGTTGTCCATTTGGGAGTCAGTAAAGCAGAAAGCATAACAAAAGAGAAAGCATAACAAAGGAATTAGGACAAAATATATTTGACACATCAATGCATTGACTCAGGTATCCTATCAAAAGAAAATGATTCTCGGGCTCATAAAACAAAACTCTACTGTTTCATGTACTAATAGGAAACTAATGTCTCTATTTAACAGCAAAAGGCAAGATTCGTATGATGTATATAATCTTAAAGCATATTCAAGTTTTCACAATTTCTGGAAATTTGCATATAATGATAGTTACTTCCAGGAGATGATTGCTAGGTGACTGAAGAATTGGGGGTGAGCTGGAGACTGTTCTGCTATATACCTTCTTGAACCTTTTGAATGTTACCTATTCAAAAAGTTAGTAACATTTTAAAAAATCCTTTCAACCTAGTCTTACGTTCAATTGAATTGTATTTCTATAGTCCTAGACACTTATAAGAAGGGTTAAAAAAAAACTATTAAAGACTAATGAACATAAAGGGAAAAGAAGCCTTAAGATATAATATACAGGGCTGGGGTTGTAGCTCAGTGGTAGAGTGCTCACCTAGCACATATGAGGCACTGAGTTCAAACTTCAGCACCACATAAAAATAAACAAAATAAAGATATTGTGTCCATCTACAACTAAAAAAATACATAAAAAGATATAATGTACAAAGAAGTAAGTAGAGATATTAACTCTACTTTTCCATCACTCCTGCCCTATTCTCTACCAATTCTTTTTCCTTTGGGATGCTCATGGGTGGCTATAAATGTGATATTAATGACCCTTGTTCTATTGCTCTATCATGGTTCAAGAGATAAAAGTTGAATTAAGAATTTGATCATTTTAATGGTGAGTCTTTTTTTTTAATTGTGCAGCTTTTATTTGAAATCTTCGTATCCTTTCAAGTGGGGTTGTGTCAATACAGAGCATTCAAACAGTTTTAACTGTTAATGCACTGAGTAACAACTCAGTTCTCCATTACCATAGTGAAAGACCTAAGATAATTAAAACAGAAAAGGCTAAGATTGGTTCATAATGTGGCGGCTCTGTTCATGCCTGATTTCTTTGGGCCTGTGGCAAGGCAGCACTTCATAGCAGGAAAATGTAGAACATGTAGCAGAGCAAAATCACTCATGTTATTCAGGGAACAAAAGGAGTGAGGAGGGGGCCAGGCTCCCACCATCTTCAAGAGCACACCCAGTGACCTAAAGACCTCTCACTGGGCCCCACATCTTAAAGTTTCCATCATATCCCTGCAGTATCACCTTGAGTCTACACCTTTTAACACAGAGGCCTTTGGGGAACATTCAACATTCAAAATATAGCAGACTGAATCATTCAATCTATTTAATATCTAGACTTATTTAAATCTTTTAAAATTTATTTTAATTAGGTCTATATGACAGCAGAATGCATTTGATTCATGGTATACAATTGTAGTACAACTTTTCATTTCTCTGGTTGTACACGATCTAGCATTGCACCATATGTGCAGTCATACATGTACCTAGGGTAATGATGTAAGTCTCATTCCACCATCTCTCCTGCCCCTGTGTTCCCACCCCACCTGTCCCTCCTTTGCCCAAAGTTCCTCCATTTTTCCCATACCCTCCTCCCCTTATGAATCAGCATCCACTTATCAGAACATTTGGCCTTTGGTTTTGGGGAATTGGTTTACTTGGCTTAGCATGATATTCTCCAACTCCATCCATTTATATGCAAATGCCATAATTTTTTTCTTTTCTAATGCTGAGTGATATTCCATTGTGTATATATCAGTTTCTTTATCCATTATTTATAAATGGTGAATCTTTTGACAAGGGAAAATTTACCAGTTCTCCATGCAGTTTTAACCCAAACTAGTGTGGTACCCCATATTTTCTCTCGCATCTTTATTTGGTATGAATTTTCTTCTTTACCAAGGCAATAAAATCGAATTGTACACTACAGGAAATACACTCATAAGAAACCTGCTTATTTTGCCCATCTTCTAAGGTGAAATAATAAAATTTAAGGAAATATTTTAAATAGTAATGCCAATTCTGCATGTTGAAAATGGTCAAGGATATTCTTTCTCTGAAAAACATAGAAATAAGAATAGGCTTATTATGAGTTTTGTAGTTTATACATTCTTCACTCCCAAATACCTTTGCTTTATAATCAAATATTGTTAAAAATGAGAGGTGAAAAGTTCCCCTCACTTTCACTTCGATTTATCATATACTCTCAAAGGAGCTTGACATTGGCCTAGAAGTTTATGGTAAGGGATTATTAGCCACTTTTGTAAAATGCTTGGGTGGAAACACAGCTTTACACCCAAGTTCACTGAAGCTTAAAATTTTAGCTTAGCTAAATTCAAATTAAAGCATTGTCCAAGAGTACCTGTACATATTTTATTTCTGCTATCTAATGTTTTTCATAATTTCCATTTATTTTTGTGACAGGCAGTTTTTAAAGAGCAACTTTCACCAAAAAAATTGGGCTTTTTAAATGTGACAGAACTTGTTGGAGCTCTTAGTGATATTCTTCGTGTTGAGTTCAGGGAAGGAGAACAAGACTTGCTAGTGTTTGATGCTGATATGAGGCCGGTACTAACAGGTAAGTTGTCCCACAGTGTAATGCAAACCTCATTTTTAATTGTTTTTGTAAGAACAGGAGAAAAGAAAATATTGGCTAGGTAAGAGTCATCTTTATAACTACATCAGACAAACATATTATGTATTAGCATTGAAATGTTTTATGTGTAATGATCTTTTTTCTGGTGGTATTTATTGTAATAAAGTTAACTGTATTTTAAAAATTGAATTTTTTTTCCTTGGTGGAGATTGACTTGAAGAGCATTCTGCCTCAGAGCTACATACCTAGTCCTTTTATTTTGAGGCAGGGTCTTGCTAAGTTGCCCAGGTGGSCCTCAAATTTATGATCCTTCTGCCTTAGCCTCTGAATTTTTAAAATTAATTCATTGTGCCAGACACAGTGGCACTTGCCTATAATCCCAGCAACCCAGGAAGCTAAGATAGGAAGATTACAAGTTCAAGGCCAGCCTCAGCAATTTAGCAAGGTTTGAAGCAATATAGAAAGGTCCTGTCCCACGATAAAAAATAAAAAGTGTTGGGGATATAGCTCAGTGGTTAAGTATCCCTGAGTTCAATCCCCAATATCATAAATAAATAAATGAATTTTTTGATAATCCTGAAGAGAATTTTCTGATTAAATGGTCTGATAGTTCAGTGGTTAACTTTGGCTATATATCAAAAGCATTTTAGAAAGATGTGGAGATTCAGAATAAATGGGTATGCATTCATAACCCCTCTTGCATTTTTAAAATAACTATTTGAGGATAATTTTAGGCTTATGGAAAAATTGCAAAGGTAGTACCAAGTTCCCATATTCTTTTCATACATTTTCCCCTAATATTATTATCTTTAATATTACTGTAATTTATTTGTCAGAGCTAAGACGTTAACATTGGCACATTGTAACTAACTAAACTCCAGATTCTATTACCAATTTTTCTTTTTTTATTGGTTGTTCAAAACATTACAAAGCTCATGACATATCATCTTTCATACATTTGATTCAAGTGAGTTATGAACTCCTATTTTTACCCCAAATACAAATTGCAGAATCACATCAGTTACACATCCACTGTTTTACATATTGCTATACTAGTGTCTGTTGTATTCTGCCTTTCCTATCCCCTACTATCCCCCCTCCCCTCCCCTTCCATCTTCCCTCTCTACCTCATCTGCTGTTGTTCAGTTCTCACCCTTGTTTCCCCCGCCTTCCCCTCACAACCTCTTGTATGTGATTTTGTATAACATTGAGGGTCCGTTTCCATGCAGTTTCCCTTCTCTCTCCCTTTCCCCCTACCACTCGTCTCTGTTTAAGGTTAATCTTTTCCTCATGCTCTTCCTCCCTGCTCAGTTCTTAGTTGCTCTCCTTAAATCAAAGACATTTGGCATTTGTTTTTTAGGGATTGACTAGCTTCACTTAGCATAATCTGCTCTAGTGCCATCCATTTCCCTGCAAATTCCATGATTTTGTCATTTTTTAGTGCTGCGTAATACTCCATTGTATATAAATGCCACATTTTTTAATCCATTCATCTATTGAAGGGCATCTAGGTTGGTTCCACAGTCTAGCTATTGTGAATTGTGCTACTGTGATCATTGATGTGGCAGTATCCCTATAGTACGCTCTTTTAAGGTCTTCAGGGAATAGTTCGAGAAGGGCGATAGCTGGGTCAAATGGTGGTTCCATTCCCAGATTTCCCAGGAATCTCCATACTGCTTTCCAAATTGGCCGCACCAATTTGCAGTCCCACCAGCAATGTACGAGTGTACCCTTTTCTCCACATCCTCTCCAGCACTTATTGTTGTTTGACTTCATAATGGCTGCCAATCTTACTGGAGTGAGATGGTATCTTAGGGTGGTTTTGATTTGCATTTCTCTGACTGCTAGA